GCCCCAAACAAAATAAACACAGCAGCCGAGTCACATATGCACATACAGTCAAAAGTCGTTAATCCGGACTCGTTGGGACTTCAGCGATTCCGGATTATCGATTTTTCCGGATTATAGATCATCAGTTTAAATCTCGTAAGATGGCATGCAGAAATTCTAAAATTAAAAATATGAAACCGTAATTTATGAAATAAAGAACAATTATGATCTAAAGGGTATCAAAATTTACAAAAAAAAAAAAAAAAAAAAAAAAAAAGCTTAATATTTATTTGTTTACTTTATTAAACATTTCTTTCAATGTAAGTTGTTTAAGTTGCTTCGTTTTATGTGGTAATACTTTCTCTTTAATTCTATAAACAGGCATAATTTCTTGTTCAGTTACAAAGTTCTGCGGTTCAAGTCCCGTAATTGCTGTGCCGAGAATACCGACTAACTTGTCAATCGAAATTTTTTTGTTTTCACTAACCTCTCTGTCATATTCTTCATGTCTTTATCCATTTTTTGCAGCAATTCCACTTTTTGTTTGATGGACATCGAAACATACTTTCGTTTTGTACGATCCTTTGGGAGCTCCAGAATCGGAAATTCTATTTGACATAATCGAAAGTTCAAGTTTACTTTTATAAAATTGCTCTTACAGTCTGCAAAAAATAATAAGCCGGATCCAATTCAAAGATTAAGGAACAATGCAATCATCAACATTAACTGAAATAGATAATTAGATAATTTTAGCTTATACCGTCCGTTATACGTAAAACGCGCACGTGAAAACGTATTCTGCGCTTGCGCACACGCATATGCGCAGTCGTAAAAAGTCTTACGTGCATGCGTAAACGCCTATGCGCATGCGCAGAAAGTTTTTAGCTTTGAGGTCCAGATTATAGATCATTCCGAATTATGGGTGTCCGAATTAAAGACTTTTGACTGTATTATGTATATATTTGAGAACACACAGATTTAGCCACTGCTCATCATTTGTGAATCTAGCCACTATTTTGCTTAATAGCATCTACCAGCTATAAAAATGTAAATATCAGCCATATAGATTTTTTTTTATCATAAAATGTTTCTTTTTATTAGCTTCCCCTTCGTGACTGCATGTTGTTGAACTAAAAACCCTCTGCATATGGCTTTGTCATATATGCATCAGCTCTAAATGTCTCTAGCAGCTCAATGATGTAATGGTGCATCACCACTTGCATTGATCTTACACACGGGTGTGGCATATATGCACTTTCAAACGTACACATTTTTTTAAATCATGAGATGACACTCCATGTCCAGTACAGTTAGCTTATTTGAACATATACATTGTTGACATTGTGTCCATGAACTACCTTCTGATTCTGGTGATTTGTTTCGATAAAGTAAACAAAACCTACATGACATGTATTTGGCTTCATGTGATATAAACATTGAACAGTTTATGATGCTTTAATTCTTTTAATCCAAAGAGGCTGTCCCTGATGAATTATCGTTTTCATTCTGCAATTTTGCACTGTAAACTTTAAAAGGCTGTATCACTTTTCAAATTGTTCCCACCAAATACTACCACCCTGTATTATATTTGAAGAAATTAAATAATGAAGAAGCTGCATAAATGTATGTATGTTTCTTGCATTATGATAAAACAACGGTATCTACATCCATCCAATTTTGAATGACGTAATCCTGCTGCAAATATGGGCATCTGAAAGCCCAAATTTGAAATTTGGAATTTGTTTTATTATGGATTTTATATTTTGTAAAACTTTAACAAATTGATTAACAAATTCACTGATTTAAAAGCGAGCAATGGCAACACTCTACGGGGCAAAAAAAAAAAAAAAAAAGTTCTTATCTCCAGCGCGTAACTGTGTATTGCAAATTTTAAGGATATGCTCATTTTAAAATTATTTTGTGACATTGCTGTTGAGCTGAATTTTTTTAATTTAAGTGCAAAGAATATTTAATAAATAAAGGTAACACACAAAATGTTTTGGATGTAATTTAAAATCTGAAATCTGAAAGATTTTTTACAACTTTTTTGTGTGTTTTGTTTTGTTTTTTTCCTATGGGAAGATTGGGAATGGAGCTTCAGTTTTAGGAACTTTGTTTGCATCTTCTTTAGATAGTAGACGTAAGTTTTTTGCACCAGGTAAGAGAGTTAAACTAATAATGCAATGCCCAAGAAAAAAAAGTTTTTAACAGGAGAAGAGTATATTCCATTTGTAAAGCCCATCCATTCAATTCCATGAGTGACCATTTTGACACCGAAAACTCTAGATTTTAAGTTATAATAGTGATTTTGATACTAACATTTTCTTAGACACTGAACTGGAAGTTTGTTTTGCTTTCACCTCACTGTGCAACAGAACATTGGCTATTCCATCATGAACTCGATCTGTTAAGTAATTGAAACCTTATGAATTTACAGGGATTGCAGAAGTAAACTTAATTCAAAGTTATCTGAAGGAAATTGATTTTTCACCTTTTTTCCCGCTAATCTAATGAACATAAGAGAAGAAGAAACTAATAATTTCTATGAACGAAAGATGAGTGAAAATCCAAAATCAACAAACTTCTCTAGATGTGGTTAAAATGAGAAGATTCCTAGGATTAGTTATTCTGCTGGGATGGAACTGAAAAGTTTGATCTGAAAATGTGCTTCATAACTAATGAAATGACAGTAACTAGATTATCACACACTATCTCCTTTCTGAACGATTTATGCTGTAATATTTGATCATATATTTTATTATTTTTTACATATGTTTAGATATAGATTTAAGTAAGTTTTTTTATAGCATTTCATCAAGATGAGTCAAATATTTTATTTTGCGTTTAGATTTTAATTAAAAATTTTTCAGAATCTCTTGATATTCTGTATTTATGATTATATTACTGTTAAATATCATTACAGAAAAAATCAAAACAATTCATAAAATAAATTTTTGTAATGAATTTTTTTGTAATAAAGTTTAAGTTAGGCTTAGCGACATGAAGTATCTCCTCTTGTGAGATTGTATTATTGCAACAACACACTGTCTCCAAGGTGAGTTGCGCTAAGCCGCATGCCGTTGCTTAAGAGGATTAACTGCTGATGCATATATGATACACCTGTCGTGAAGGGGCTAAGCAGAACTATGCCTATGAGTTTTAAAAATAGCTAAACTGATGTTTCTTACCAATTCACTAAGTCACATATGGTACTCTCTTATTAACTGCTGAACATTGAAAAAAATTGCTGGGCTCTTCACTATGTCGCCAAAGTATGTAACCCAGAATTTTATGAAAATTTATTTAACCTGCAACCCATGAGTGGTTGCACGTGCTTTATGCCACCATGGAGTTTGGCTTTTAAAATTGAAAAGTCATCATAGTGGCTGCTGTTTATCAGCTGTTCTTAGGTGATTATGAAAATAGCTTTTTCTGAATTTGTGCATTTCTGAAGTTAAAAAAAGTCAAATTAATTATACGTCTGAGAAGAGCTAAAAGTAGTTTATTAACTGTTGTTGGGTGATTATAATAACAGCTTTTTTCACATTTGTGCATTTCTCTAATGTTTAAGTTAAAGCAAGCCAATGTGTACATGGAAAGAGCTGAAAAGTAATTTCTTAACTATTCTTAGGTGAATGTGATAACAGCTTTTTCCAAATTTGTGCAATTCTCTGATTTTTTAAAGTTATTTTTCAAGTTAAAACAAGTCGATGTGTATATGGGAGAAGAGCAGAGGAAAAAGAAAATATTTTATTGTTGGTGCTTCCTATGTTTTTATTTAGTTAATTTTTTGCTGTTTTATGCAGTATTTTGCATTTCATTAAGGATTTTTTTATGTAATTTTCATGTTTCATTATAGATGTTTCTTGCATTTTTATTTTTGTTAATTTGTGGTAGTTTTATTTACTTCTTAGTGCACTGTCTTTTTAAAAAATGATTATTTTTTTTGACAGCTGAGGCTGGCAAAAAATTAGCCTCGAAGGATTGTTAACTTTATGAGATGGTTCGGCAGTTAATCAGAAGTTACCAAAAATAGTTATTGCCAGCTTTTTTGTAGGGTTGCAAATTGTTAAGAGTGCCAAAATGTTTTTGGTGAAAAACTAATTTTTGTTCTGTTCAGTTACTATATATTGGGGAGATAATTATTATTCAATACCTTGATTACACTGAAACTGATTTAAAAATCTTAACTGAAATTTTTAAAGCTAGATTTCATATCTATGGGTTTAGGTTGTAGTGCAGTGGACATCCATTGGTTATCCATTGGTAATGTGAGTATTGTCCAACTGCACTATCCATCTTTTAATTGAAGATTATTATTTTTTAAGAATTTTTACATATTTACAATTTTTTACATATGGTTACAATATAATTATGGCATATGTTGCCTTTCATACTTGAATACATAATGATAAATATGAAACGTAATGGTAAATATATAACATATTAATACATAATGGCATCAAACATATATATAACATAGTTATATACATAAATGCAAAGAGCTCTTTTTTTTTTTTTTTTTTTTTTTTTTTTTTTTTTTTTTGCATGTACATGCAGAGAGTATATATATTGAGTACATGCAGAAATCATTTTGTATATGAAATATTTTTCAGAATATTTTAGACTTCCTTTTATTTTGTTGGATGCAAAGAGGTGTATGGTCCTCTAGTCTTTTTGTCAATTCTGGTCCGTACTTTTGATAATTTTTTCCTTCAGTTTTTTTTTTTTTTTTTTTTTTTTTTTTTTTGTCAAGTAGGTTGTTTTGTCAATTCTAATTTAAATTTTTAGAAGTTCCAGTGTGTTATTATTTGCTTATCTTGTATTGCAAATTCTTCTCCTCTACTAGCGAGGAATATGACTGAGTATTCTATTTTTCTTCTTAGTTGTCTGATTTTTTATGCTATTTGCAAGCTCTGGTATATATTAGTCTCAGGAAGTTTCAAGTGATAGCTTTTTGTTATTGATAGTTGCTAATGATAGTGATAGCTTTCATATCTGTAACTGTTTTACTAATGTAGGAGGAAGATGATATGGAAAAAGAATTAGGTAGCATCATTTATTCCAAAGATCTTGAAAATTATGATGGCTTAGATAATGAAAGCAGACCTTCTGGGAGAAAGAAGAAGAAAAAGCGCCACAGTCTATCTTCATCTGCATGTTCTATTGAAAAGCCATCTAAACCAGATACACCCCAAATGAATCATAATATGTTTGTGCACTCGTAAGTACGCTGGTTAATATCTTTATAGATCTGTGGTTGTACCTGCATGATGCATGAGTTTATGCTTGCTTTAACTTTAAAGAGTTTTCAAATTCATTAGGAAACTTCTTAAATTTATATAAAAGTGTTATTGATATTCATTATATATATATAATTCATACAAAAGCACTATTTATTTGTGTATTATCAAATAAATACAAACTTTAATTTTAATATACTGATACATTTCAGTAAAGGTAGGATTGAAAATTAATTGGCAGACATAGTTTCATTTACTTCAATTGTATTAAAAATTTAGTAAAACCAGAGTTTCACTGATGTTTTCTGCTTCATCAGATAAAATCTGAATAATGTGTCGCTTTATCTTAGGTATTGGCAACCGTTTTTGGCTGTGAGTTAAAATCATTTAAATGTGAGCATTTAACAAGATGTTTTGGGTTAGTGGTATTTTCATTTTAGAACTTTTTTTTAATGAATAATAAGATAAATTTTATTGACAAAATAATTACAATATGCTTTAAACTTCAAACATAAAAATTTAAATTCTGATTTTAATTTCTTTAAAAACAAACGTAACTGAATGAACTTTATTTGGTACTTTTCCGTTTCGCCGGCGCAAATCTCGCCAAGCAGACTTTATTGGCGACAACATACAGTATACACATAAAAAATATTTAAAAATTTTTAGTTCTAAGAAATCTTTTTTTGAAGGCATAAACATTTTATTATCGCTTAAAACTTTATAAAAAGTCAATAAATTTGTAAAAAGACATTAATTTAAGAATTTACTATGCTTCATGGTTCAACATCCTAATTCCCCGGTTCATATCACGTGACCCCAAGCGATCTCATCTCACGTAAACTACTCTACAAAAATCTAATGCTCTCAGTAATTAAGTTAAATCTTAATTTCAAGTTAAATTTTAATTTGGAACACAAGTTTAAATGCAAGAAATATTTCAATGCGTACGAATAGCTTACTCAGAAATTATGTAAAACTGCAGTGCTTTACTTCGCTAATGCATTCTTATTAGAATTGATGAATTTAACCCTTGACTTTCCTTTTCTATATTTTCGGCTTTGGTTAAGCGCTGTGATTGCATCCTAATTGACTTAATTACCGAAAATGGCCTTAGACATAAAAACTGAACTATCTGATAAAAATTCTATGTAATTATATGCCAATATTGAAAGAAAACAATCAATCTGATAAGAAAAAGCTGCGACTTGTTTCGAAAATGAGGCGTAAAAGGTTACCAGCGAGAATATTCCGTTTGGCATCGGTTGTACCATTATTGGCGACTTTATCGCTTGCGCCGGCAAAACGGAAAAGTACCCTTTATTTTTCTCTTCAATATCTATAGTTTCTGTGATGCTGAACATGTGATGTTAGTTTAATCGAGTCTAGCTTATTGTTAGTCATCTTAAGATGAATACAAGCAATTGAATTTTCAATAGTTAAGCTGTTCCTATTCTTACTTAAAATAAATTTCATGTGTGAAAATATTTACTCACGTTTATAAATTGAACCAAATGTGGGTAAAATGGCAAAGCCCTTTTTTTTTATTATTATTGAATATGGATTGATGTTGCCAAACTTATTCATTTCTCCTTGACACTATGCTACATTTTTTTAAAAAACCAAAAATGCATGTTCATTACTGCAACTTTGTAATTAAATAAAAATGTTGTGGCATTTTTTTGGGGGGGAGAGGTGTATTCTTCAAATGCTCGTTTTATATTTATGTTTTCATAATTTATTTTTGTGTATTATATTTTGTTTTCGGAATTCAAATGCATCACTCAAAACTATGAAATTCATCATAGGTTGCCAAGGTCTGCTTTATCTCATTCTTTTCTGCTGTTAACTTGGGTTCCTAACAATTTTGAGTTTCTGTGAGGTTGTTGTACTTCTAAGAATGGCTGTTCAGATATCTGGGATACTGAAAAGAAGTTCATTGCAACACAGCCTAATGATGTTTTTAATAGCTTCTCTGATTGTAAGCTACTTTTTATGCATGGACATTGTCGGTGATTTTTGCTTTGTCCCTATTTGCTGTAACCTTGCGAGTGGCTGGGTGGTTAAGAACACTCAATACTGAGAGTTCGGCATGGTTTGATTCTAGTTTAAATGGACAGGCTGTGTGGTTGGTTTTCTTCATTTCTCTCATGTGTAATATGAATGAGCCAATTAACCTTAGAAAGTCCTCCACAAAGGCATGTCCATCCCTAATCTGATAGCCCTTGTGTATTTTGTCATATTCCAATAACCATAGCTATCGCTGTTGCAGGGCCGTTCCTAGTGCGGGTGCAGCTCATAAAAGTATGCGGACGGCTAAAATTAAGAGCAGCCGGACTCTCGTGACACCACTGCTAAATATTTTTAATTCACTGTAAGTACATTTTATACAATTTGTCATATGTAAATGCTTAGTGAGTATGAAATAAAAAAATTATTAATCATCGAGCATTTGTTTTTAAATTTCGGGGCGACAGTCTTAGGAAAGTACACGGGCAGCCAATGGCCTAGGAACAGCCTTGCCTTGTTGTTGTAGAATATGGATGATCTGTAATATATTTAGCTAATGAAATATTCTTTTGTTAATGGAGCTTGAGAGTCTGTATATCTTTCCTGTATTCTAATTCTTGTAAACTTCCAGGATGTTGACACATATATTACATTGCATTTTATGTCATGAAACAATAGAAATCCATTGTGATACTTAAGGAATACCACTGTATTTTCTGTTTCTTTATGGAAAGAGCAATAGTAATAAGTATTTAGTTTTAAAGTAAACTGGCACTTTCTAGAATATGTGTTTCCTTCCATTATCTTACATGTAAATCATATATGCAAATCCTTCTGTTCCTAACATCTTTTAAACTTATTTTGTTAAGATTCATTCCATTCTTGTACTAATAGTACTTACTGATTGTCTAATCTCTGGATATATATATAATTGAAAGGAATTGTTTATATTTTATGCTGTTAATTCCATTGTAATCTAATTTTAATGTATGGTGTATTATTTTTCAGGCAGCGGGAAAAGCCAGATAATTCAGTAAGTAAATTAGCTCTAATTTCTCCTTATTATTAAGTATAATCAGAAGTATGCTGATATGAATATATTAATATAATATTGTGATAGTATTCATACCATGCTTTATCGAACACAGTACTATTGTAGAGAATTCTACTTACTGATATTCTGTATTCTATAATAATGGAGAATCTGTATGCATTTACATTGGAAAAAAAAAAAAAAAATAGAAGAACAGTTCTATATCTCCCATTCTACTGAACCGATTGGCGAAATTCAAATTGCGTTTTTCATGTCTCGTAAGTGCGGCTTAGGATATTTATTAGATTTATATACAGCATTATTCTAACATAGGTATTTTGACACAAAATCAGAACTTTTCTGAAATAACATATAATTTTTTTCCATAATCTACGCATAATTTGGCTATCTAGGCATACTTTGATTCTATGACTCAAATTATGCCTGGATATTAAATTTTGTAATTTTTGGTGAGAAATTTAGAAATTTATCTTGATTGATTTTTTTCAGTTTACGCCAAGAATAATTCACTTGGCGGAATTCTTAATTCATAGTAACCTATTTACTTTCCTTATTTTTCATTGATGCACAAGAGAAAAAAAGTTCCATTGTTCGTTCTTTCAAATAATTTTAACAAAGTGCGTAAACCACATTTTTATTATTATCGCTTATATTAAATACATCAAATTTCAAAATGCACCAAAATGTAAATTGACGTATATCTTAAGAAATTTTGAATAAAAAACTCTTATTTTTTTTTGCAGATATGCTTAGAAATACAACTACTTTAAGATGATGTTAATAATTTTATAGGTTATAATTCAAAATATTTTTCAAGAAGTTTTAAAAAAAACAAATAAAATACAAATTTTTAAAATAAATTTTTAAAAAAATGTGCAAATTATATTTGGATTAAGCCTAAATTTCGAATTCTGGAAGAAGGAATAAAGTAAATTTAATAAAAAAGAGGTATTAATAAATATATATCAAATTCAATTAACATTGAGGAGCTAATTTTTACAAAATTTGGCAGTTTGGCATAATTGGAATCATAAAATCGAAATATGGGAAAGAAATTGTCATGTCTTTTTAATGACAATTTTGTCCAATTTTGTGTCAAAATACCAAGTTGTTATACAGGACTGTCTCTTTTAATTACTTTAACTGAGACTAATAAATCAAATTTGTATTTTTTACCTTTTTACTTTTTATATTGTAAAACTTTTTCATGTGTTCACAGGCTTTTTTTTATTTGTATATCATATTTTTAAGCAAAATTTTTATAACTTGTTTTTGTAAAAATGTAAAAATATTTCATAAAAGACTATTGGCTCTGACTCCAAATTAATCTTTATAATTAGAACTCCATTTCATCAAATAACGTTAATCCACGTTTTAAATCAAAAATAATCTTTATTTCGTTTTTAGCAAATGTAAACAACTCTTTAGAACATCATCATCAATAATCTTTTGTTGCCATTCTGAAAACAAGAAAAAACGAATAAAATAATATTAATCAGTATTTAAAGTTTCTGCATATGTTCAAGCCACAACAAGACAATTCAATGAGACTCTTAATTCTACTAATTCATCAACTAATTAATTAAGTACTGCGCTTCTGAGTCTCAGTGAATTAGTCAGAATGAAATTTGTCTTGGCTATCTAATTAATCAACCAGGTATGGAATTTCAAAACACTTTTCCCTTAACAAGTTCTGTTATGAAACTCCAAGCAAGGGAGATTAATTGTTACAAATTAACTTTCTTAACCCATTAGCCGCTGGTGTTGTGTTGACGCAACAGTCAAAAGAAATGCGTATATAAATATAACTACCTAAGATATTTTATACCAGCAGATGATTTTGTGTAGGGAATATTATGAAGATTATTTCCGTAAAAAATATTTGCCTTTAATAATCATTTTGTTTATAATAAATAATCTCATACTTTAAGCAAAATTTTCGATCGGGTATTTTTGCTGAAAATATTTAACGAAAGAATCGCCGTCTTTATGGGTTATCTATTTTTAGTCAAGGTCACCATTTATCAGAACATTACATCAGTCAGATATTTATATTTGTGTTGGGAAGGAAGGGAAAACATGTGTTGCGTTGATGCAACGTCAGCAGGAAATGGTTAGTCAATCTCCTTTTTCACTCATTCCTTTCGATGTTCTGGTTCAAGTTCTGGTTGTTTAAAAATGCCTAGAATGAGGTATCTTACATTAGAAGAAGCCCTTCAAAGATTTTTTGATAAAGAAACAGATGATGATAATGACATACATTTGACAATACTGATAAATTATATGAGATGAGACCGTATCTAAACTTACTAAATATCACCACTTTTTCTACTACTGGAAATATAAAGTCTCTTTTAGATTTCAGACGCAAGAATGCATTATTCCTTTTGCAAACTCCTATTGAGAGTGTAGAATTAGCCAGAAATAGATCAGCAACAGGAAGACCTAGTAAATTCAGCATTCAAAAACCATTGCATGGAGATGGTAGACATTTTATCGTAAAGTCCATTGATAACAAAAGACTTTGTTGTAAAGAGTACCACAGCCAGACTGTTTATAGATGCAAAGTATGTAATGTAGTTTTACGTCATGATTGTAATCAAGCTTTTCATGCTTGAATCTTTCAATTGAAATAAACTGCATTTGTAAAAGAAATACAATGTATATTTTAATATTAAATTAATTACAAGTAAAGTGATTTGTAGATTTATAAAACGTTATATAGCTAAAAAGTAATCCTGCGCTCCACTCGAAAGAAACATCACACGAGTACAATCCTACTCACTAAACATCCGTAGTCTTATTCCGCTGACGTTGCGCGAACGCAACACTCACTTTTTCCACAGGTAAGAGCATTTTTTTTTAATTTTCAATGTAAATTTATGTTATAAATGCTTAATTTAATTTTTGTTATTATTTTCATGAGAAAAGAAACATTCCTTGTAGTTTTGGCGGTTAATGGTTTAATTTTTAATTTCTACATTCAGATCAATGTCTTAGTATCTTAGATTTTTACTTTGGTGTTTTTTATGTATTTCAATACTTGGTAGAATTCATTTCTTCTTGCTGATGAGTTGGATCACACCTTACTTTTTAAACTATGTTAAAACAATACTATATATAAATCTAATATATATCCTGAGTCACGCTTTCAAGACATAAAAAATGCAAGTTGAATTTCGTCAATCAGCCCAGTAGAACGGTAGAACTGTCCCTTTTTTTTTCGCAGTTTTCCTTGCATTGTAAAAAAATGGCAGTGGCTTCATATTTTTAGCATATATAGTCCTGCACCCAAACATGTATACCTCGATGCCTGAATATTCAATTTCCAATTTGGTTTTTATGTATTTCATATTTTGAATGAACTTTGCTCTAGGATTAATGAATCAGTATGTATTCGAAGTTTCATATTTGACACATATATCAAGGTTTTTCATTGCATATTTTATTTTTTAAGTTTTTAATTTAATTTTGAATTTTTAATCACTTTATATTTTAAATAAATTACATTTTATATTCGTCTCCATTTGCACATTTTAAAGTCATTAATCACATTTTCTACCTATTTTATCTTCGATTTTCCATGTGCTTTTATACTTCTGAATAAAAAAATGTACAGAGTTTTAAGAAATTCCATTCATTTTAATTTCTTGTTTTAAAGATTAATGTACAAGATTCGGTGGGTGAGAAAAAGGAAGCAGAGACAGATAATGAAGCTACAGCAGGTAAAATGGAGTGTTCTGTTAATTTCACTGAAAGTTTTTTGTCTTTGTTTTTCCCCAGTTTATCTATTTTGTTATGACCAACAAGGCCATAGGATGGTAAACAGGTATTTGTTTAGTTGTCCTTAATAATGTTATGCCTTTGTGTTTTTCATTAAGAATGAGAAACTGAAAGTGTTATTGTACCATTCATTATAGTCTTATTTTCGAAAACTTTATATTACATAAATATGCTTTAGAAAATTGACACAATAGCTGAGACTATAATCGAGTTCAGATGACATTCATTTACTTGATTGCACTGATCAAAATTAAAGGTAAAGAATCTGTTTACATTACAGTTTTATCATAATGAAGATCCTTATTTGCAGATTGTCTGTAAAAAAAGTGCACAGTTAGTTGTTACATATATATTAAAAAAGTTTGCTAAGTAATAATATAATTTTCATAAGCTGAAACAACTATAATTTTTTTAATTCACTGGTGGGAAAAATAGCGCAACAAGTATAAAAACTGGTATGATTATGCAACTAAGAACATGAAACTTACACAAAACCTTTATTTTATCATGTCTGATATAGCTTCGATATGCTGAATTACCTATTTTGCAAAAAATAAATTTTAATAAAAATAGAAGAAATGTGATGTAAAGTGAGAAAGGAAAGTAACTCTTTAGAGATACTTAGAAAAATTAATAAGGTATATGATCACTTCTAATCAAAATGCAAGCTTTACACCGATTCCCAATGATGTGTATTAGATTGTCCTTGAATTCCTGTGATAATAAAATGTATTCATGATGCCTTTTGAAGCTCCTGAGATTCTTGGAGGGGGGGTCGTAGTGATGCAGGTCAGCATCCTAGTGTGTTACACACACATTCTATCTAATTTAAACTCAAAAAATATATAGGTTACAGGACCACAGATTTCCTTCATTTTAAAGGTAATTGAGCACAAGCAATAGGTCAAGAATATCTTCTCTATCTATTTCACCATTAATATACTATACCTTTCTATCAATGTCTTTCGCATAAGTTTACATCTTTATTGAATGTGGTTTGCTCCCTCCAGATTGTAATACATTTTGAATCACTCTTTAAACAAAAATGAGACTCATCCTTGAAAAAAAGTCTGCACCAGTCAATGCTACTCCAAGCTTCTGCACCACTACAACTGGGTGCATTTTGCAGCCCATGTTAGCAGGACATAAACAGGCTGCCACCCAGTACAATCTTTACATTTTCTGAATTCTGCCACCCACTGCTTCTATAAATTCTAAAACTTTGCCACTCCTAAATTCTGCTATCTGATGCGGCCTTATTAAATGCCCTGGCTCTAACAGCTCTGGTTTATGCAGTCTGTCACTCACAGTACATTTAGGTAGTCAAGTTCCTGTATTCTTTCAATATGGATTAATATCAATTGCTTTTTCTTTTAAGAATTATTTGTAAACAATAGCCCTCGGTGTCTGTTTTGGCCATGGGGGAAGGAATATAAGGAGAGGCCCTGGCTGATTTTCTTCATGAAACTTGTTTGATGCAGTGATACCCCATTGTTTATCAACACATGATTTACCATTAAAATCTATAGGTTTTTAACAGGTTTGGCAATAAACATTCTGCAATTACATCATAAATAAATGTGTATAAATGTGTATATTTTCTTTTTCTGCAATATTTCATTTTTGTGAGTCCTAACTGATTACTTTTTAAAATAATATTTCATTTTAAACAAATTAGCTCTCTTATTTCTCTTGTGCTATTCTCTCAGACTAGTTTTAATTTGAATGAAATGTTTTCACTTATTTTTGTTAATTATATTAGAAATAATTTTTGTTTGGTTAACAATTACAAAAAATAAAATAGAAGTTTTATTGAATTATTAACACTAAAATCGCACATTATTTCTTTTCTGTTCATAGAGTCTCTTTCTGAAATATTTTCTCAAATATGAGATGATTTTTAGCTTTTCTGAATTGTTATTTAAGTCAAAAATCATATTCTCACTATATCCCTGCAATACCCTTTTCAAATAAGAATACCTTTTACTTTACTAGATAAATATTGCTGCTGCTGATTTCTGATTTCCACATAATTAAGGAAGGGTACAGCAGGTTAAAAAAAAAAGAAAAAAAAAGATATTTATAATAGACTTGCAACTGAATTATTATAAAAAGGAATAATTATTTTAATACTTATCAAAATATTATGCTTCTATTCAACAATATACATTGTTTAATAACATTCATAGAAGCTTATGTGTGAATAAATTGTTCATTTTCAGATACATTTATAAATAATTTAATTAATATTTAGATAGTTAATTTAAAACATACACATTTCTTTAAAAATATAAATAAATACTTATATATACTTAAAATTTTTCCTCTTTTAACATGTGCCAATCTTCATTTTCTGTGTTTTCACTGTATTTTTACAGTAAGGTAATTTACAATCATTTACCATATATCAGAATTTTTAATGTAAGAAATATATGTAAACCAAATAAAATTACATGCATTATTTTAATGTAGAGTAACTAAAAATATAGTTTTAATTCATTGTTCTTAAATTTTCTTCACTATAACTTCACCAGTGGCCAAGTTGTTAAAGAATGTTGTACACTGGTAGTTTGTTCTAAGTTAGTTTGTTCTAAGTTCTAACACTGGTGAATAGGCTGGCTGCATAGTAGGTTTTCATGATTTTCCTTTTGTGTAACATGAATACAAGTCATTTCTCTTAGAAAGTCCTCTATGAAGGCATCCTTCCTCTTAACCTTATGAATGTCTTCACACATTGCCCTCATATCCATATTGAAATAATTAAACTACCTTTCTGACGTCATGGATGCAATGTATACCATTCTCATCAGTTTTAAATATTTAACCATTTAAATTAGTTATCATAATTGTTAGCAAATACAGTGCTCTCTCACACACTAACATAAATTATCTGTTTTATTTCTGAAGCAACCATCTTTTTTTTTTCCCTAGAGTAGTATTATCAGTCTATTAATTTCATATCAAGTTTATTTCTAGATAAAAGATAAAATTTTTATCCTAGAGTAAAGGATTCAGTTTCTTTCGCTGTGAATTATTTGTTAAAAGTGCATATTTTTGTGTATGTTTGAGAAGACAGTATTTTATGTGAAAATTTTAGGACACTTCCACTTCATTCTTCTTCATTTAAAATATTATAATATATTTCGGATACTCTAAATTATTAGAAAATATATTTGAATTTTATGGCATTAAAAATCATCTTAATGTTATCATTTATTTAACTAGAAATAATATCGCAGTGCCTTAAACATCTAGTATGGATGTCTTCACATTGTTTTCCATTTTTGCTGTTTGACTTCTGAATCTAGTATGACTTCATAAATTTCAATAAATTTATTCTTGAATACATAAAAATATTAATGTTATGGTTTTCGTTTACTTATAACTGGGCCCACCAGCGGCCGAGCAGTAAAACCGCTGAACACTGGGTAGTTCGGTCCGAGGTTCGAATCCCATGAACGAGCTGGCTGCATGGTCGTTTTCGTGGTTTTCCCCATGTTTAACGTGTATATGAGCCAGTTTCCCTTAGAAAGTCCTCCATGAAGGCATCCCTACCCTTAGGCAGATAGCCCTAGAGTGCTTTGCCGTATTCTCAATACACACCTTTTACTTATAACCAGGGCTGTGGAGTCAGTTGGGAAAATGGCCGACTCTGACTCCTGGAATTTTAAGGACTCTGACACCCTCATATACATGTAAACATATACACATGGATTACAGCTTATTTTTTTAGTATAAAAGAAATAATAGATGCTTCAGAAAAAAAATGATGGCATAGCAAATTATTTATATTAATTAGCATTTATTATGAAATGGAAAAACTGGCATTGGTAATTTATAAGAAACAGTATAGCTTCAGCAAGATCTTCTTTGTTAGAGGACCATAGATCCAATCTGATAAACTCAGAGCTGAGAAGAGTCTTTCCACACTCACTTGAGTAGGAGAAAGAGCTGTTACTGTTAGGGCTACTTCTTTTAACTTTTCAGAATAGATTTTCTAAAAGAGGTGTCTTGCAAGTGCAATCATATTTCTCTATTTCTTCAAAGACCATGTAGAAATCTTGTTTGTATTTTTTCATTTTTATATCTAAAGGCTCTTGGTTCTTTATTTTTATTCACTTTGCCTTAGCCTTTTCAATATTATCCAAATATTTCTCAAAATCTAATTCATCACTTGAAGAGGATGATAGAGACTGAGTTGCAATGTCTGCACTTTGACTGTCCTGATTTGAATACTCCAAATGTTCTGAGAATAATTCCATTCTTAATATAAGGAAAGTCCATAGATGACTTTCTCTGCATTTTTTAATTTGTTCATCATCCAGCAAAATTCGGTGTTTACATATATTGAACCCAGCAAGATCTCATTGTCTAGGAAACTAGTTTCTCTTTTCTTCATAGAAGAAATGATTCCTTCTGCAATAAACCGTCCATTTCAGAAAGAACAACCATCACATTCTTCCATTCTCGCCTTTTGTTAATTTTTCAGATTGCAGCTTTTTTGTGGCTATATACAAGTAACCCTCATATAACACGGTAGATAGGTTCTTAGAAAAGGCCGTATTGTGTGAAACCGTGTTGTATGAGACCCAGAGCCAGTGTAAAAAGAGGGGTTACGTTCCCAAAACTTATTTAAAAAAAAAAAAATTATTATCGTTAATTTTTATTAAAAATATATATGTATGTGCAACACAAAACAAAAAATATTATGTATTTTAATTTAACGTAACTTTAGCTTAATAAATTGTTTTGTTGTCATTGCTGAGTATAATCAACAGAGAATGCTTTTTCAGTAGAATGAGATCACTTTCATTTTCAGTATTTCCTTCTTCATTTAAAGTTCTGGCATTTTCCTCCCTCTTTAAGAAATCTGTAATTTTACTATGCTTACTCTTATGGGGTCATTTAAAATTTCTCGATATAGAACTAAACGGTTTTGCAG